TCTAGTCTCTCTCTCTCTCTCTCTCTCTCTCTCTCTCTCTCTCTCTCTCTCTCTCTCCCCTCTATCCCCTCTTTCTTTCTCTCTCTCTCTTTTTCTCTCATTTTCTTTTTTGTTAAGCAACATTTAAATTAATTTTCGGAAGCAATGAACTTTCCAAGTTCTTTAGCGCTCTTCGCTTAATGCTCTTCGAGCAAATGTTCAACTAGTGCGATTGATTTGGTCGTCTTTGAATGGACGCATATCAGTCCCGTTATCATTTTATATCCGAATGGATCACCGGCACTTTGCCAAGATTAACTCGTAGCTTTGCATCGAACTTGTTCCGTGTGTGGCCTGTTCCAGGGCCTGAAACTTGATGAGACATACAGGGCTGTCTTTACAGTAAGTTCTCTTTAACATTTAGAATTTGATTGTTTAATTGTATAATTTTATATTTCATTAATTTTAATATTGAAACTTTACATTTAATTAAGGAAAATATCATTTTAATTTAAAGTAAAACAATGTAAAAGGTTAAATAAAAAATTAAATAGAAAAGGAAGTATAAAATGTGAAATATCTCTTCGGTTTATTAAATGTTTTTATCTTTTAGCATCTTATGATAAAGTTAGTTATATTTATAATTAAGTTTAAATGTTAAATAATTTTTTTTAAAAAAGTTGCTATCTAATAATGTTTATTCATTTTAATATTATGGTAAAAAGTATCTTTAATAAAAAATAAATACTGAAATAAAATAATATTTTTAATTTGTAACATTTATGGATAATTAATTATATATATGTTTTATTGCTATAAATAATTAAAACAGTATATATCCAGGTCAGAAAATGTGTGTATTGACATAAGTTTCAACTCAAAGGTGTAAGAGGGGGAGGGGGAATGTAAGGCTCGGAGACTGGAGCCAAATGAAGTTTGAAAGTATCCCGCGTGCTCGCTTTTGTCGAGCATCCAGGTACTATTAGTATTCGCGGGAACGAGTAACTTGCTGTACGTTTTTCATCAGTGAATGTCGATTATTTAAAACAGGGACTTGATCAGCCTGCAGACAAATCCTTTCCATGAAAACCTTGCGTTTCAATGCATTAAAATTTTGAATTTAATTTTTTGTTATCATTAACGTTTAATAGAAAATTATGTAGATATGCTTTCTGTGATAAAATGCAGAACTGACAGTGATCGATGTTCAAACACATACATCATTCTTATTAATAATAATACATTATTATTAATACACTGTTTTTAATTTAATTATGTTCGTAATTATTGAACAATTATGCGTTAGTAGTATTAATTAAAAAAATTTATATTAATATGTCAAATAAACATTAAATTTAGAAAGCACATTTGTATCGTCAATTCTGCAACGTGATGATTAATGTTATGCCATAATAAAACAATTATAATAAATATACTGATACATACAAATGATACATACAAATTCATTATATATTTCTTATATTTATAAACATCGGTTTCCAAAATTTTTCTGTTCGTGATCATATTTTTAATGACACTCTTCATGTTGTGATATTAATTTTTTGGTTATTATAAAAAAATTAGTTACATTTATATAATAAAAATT